GTTTCTCCTGCAGGGGTGCTCGCTGGTTGCTGCCTGTCTCAGCACTTCGTGCACTGCTGTGGAGGTGCCCGGTGCTGCCCGCTTGGCCAGGGCTTCCCGGGGAATGCGAATCCCCGCTGCCACGTGCTGTGCTCTCACCACCCCTCTTCACCCGTGGTTAAGCCCCTCTGTGGAGACCTTTTAAAATTCCAGCCTCCTCATTTGGGGTTTGGGCTGGGTGACCTCTAGGGGTCCCTTCCAACCCAAAACATTCTATGATTCTATGATTTCTGCTTAAAGCAAGTGGTGTGAAGGTGGCCTAACAACAAATTGTGGAGCCCCCCAAAAAGCTTGCTGGAGCCCTTCTTCGATTTCAGGGCATTCTGCAGCCACACGAGACACACAAGTGTCTGGTGAGCTCAGCCCCGTAGCTCCAGAGCTACTTTCTTAGCAGATGACAAAAAGTCTCAAGCTTCCTGGAAGCACAAAAATATCAATGGGATATTTGGGGATTTGCCTTAGATGCGTCTTTCATTGCCTTCCCCGGGGTGAAGCCTGGGACCTCTACATCTCCCTGCCACAGGTTTTGATAATCCTTTGGGGCATCACAGCATGGTGGAGCTGGAAATTTCCCTCCTAAAGGCTGGGAAGGGTGAGGTCTTAGCATGGCCAAGCTCCGCTCCTCTTCCCCACTCCTGTAGGGGAACAGCCAGAGACCCCCCGCCACTCCCCGGGCGCTGAACTGAGCTGCCTGCAGAGGCAGCTTTGATCCTGGGCCTGTTGCTGCAGAGCCAACTGCTTAACGTGCTGTTTGTTTGACAGAAAACTATCAAAAGCGACGTGTTGGTTACTTTGGTGCGTGCAGAGTACAATGGCGCCATCTTGGGAGACTCCTCCAGGATTGATGTCTTGCCAAATGGGACAGCAAACTATAATTTCACGACCAGCTTTGAGTGCAGCCCCGATGGGCCCAACTCCTTGGATGACATCGCACAGAAACCTCTGCTCTGTAAGTACCTGACGCTGGATCTCCCTCCTTGGAAGGGGGCTGCTGTCAGCTGCCCTGCTCTGCCTGCCTGCCGCAGGAGTCACTCGGTTGAGAATAGCACTTCAGCAGCAGCACTGGGAGGGTCTCAGCACTTCTGTTCCTGTCTTTGCCAGCTGGAGGAATCCCCTTTCATGTTGGCCTGTGCTCCTTGGCTTCGCCATTCTTGTCAGCCTTGGGTGATGAAGTAGGAGCGTGTGCCGGAGCTGACACAGACCCTTTGCAGCTCCTGCACTGCTGGTCCGAAGCTGTCTGAGAAACTCTGCCCACTCCTCTCTCTGTATCTCTCTAGTGACAGTGATAGAAGTGGTGCAAAAGGAGAAGAGACAGAAGGAGAAGACGGTGCCTCTTGGCCAAGCTGTGGTGGACCTCCTACCTCTGCTGCAAGGTACAACATAGACTTCCACAGCCTCCGTAACCACTTCTTACTCCCTGGCACGTTTTGATCTTTGCTTATGGAGCCCTGACTATAACTGACCTCCTTTTGACAAAACACACTTCATCGCCTCTGTAGGAAGCTGGGGCTGGGGGCCGAGGGGGTGACACTGGCAGCTCGGCGGTAGGAGTCAGGCCATGATTCCTCTGCAGAGGGTCTCACTGCGTGCTGTTCTCATTCCTGTTTCTTCCCAGGACAGTGTTCATTTAAGGTCTCGGCTCCTTTGTATGCAGTGCCTACCTCTCCATTAGAGAGCCTTCAGCCGGAGGCCAAGGTATGTGGAATTTGGAACTGTTCCTTCGATCATTCGCCTCTCTGCTGCTTTTTAATGGGAAGGCGAGCGTGACTCAGCCACCTAGCTCATCGCGGCTATGTTATGGCCCTATATGTTACAAGCTTGGAGGCCTTTCCTACTCCCGTTGACGTCTGTCCCCAGTTGCCTGTGATAGGTGAGGTCGTGCTGGGAAATGTTAATATGTGCAGCTACCAAATTGCTCTGGAAAAAATATTCGAGATGGAAAACATAGTGCTGAAAACCCAGGAAAAGGCAAAGGCAGGATTACCTGCCCAACTTTATTAGCCTTCCTTTCTGTGGGTAAAATGTCTCCGAGCTCATTATTGAACAAGCCCTGATGCCTTTCCTGCAAGGTTATTCATTCAGCCCGCGGAAAAGTACCCAGTGAATAAAGCAGGGAATGAAGCGTGAGACGGGGAAAATGTGCCTAATTTTGCCCCTGAGCCTGCCTGCGGTCAGCGCTGCGAGTGAATTGGAGGGGTGGATATTGCATTAACTTTTCTGTATTTAAGAGGTGTTACACAGTAAGCGAGGCAGGGGGGCACTCATTAGGGAGGAGAGATAATAACTGCTGACCAGCTCGGGTTTTGTTGCACGCCGTTGGGACAGGCAATTAAAGACTGCACGCAGAGTCAAAGCGTGGCCCCAGCTTGGCACGTGCTGAGTCACCGGGGGAAAATCATTCTTTTCCATCCCTGATGTTCTTCCTCTGGGGCTCGTTTTAGGACATCCCGACTCTTCCTCTGGGGCTCGTTTTAGGAGACCCCGACTCTTTCTCCCTGACTCCTTTTATGTGATCCTGGGGGCATACGCCGTGCCTCACGCAGGCTCCGATTTAAACAAACAAGTACCACAATTCAAACAAATTGATCATGAAATTCCTTTCCTGTGCTGGTCTCTTTTCTTTTATACCTGAGGTGAGGAGTAAGATAACATTACACGTTCTGGCCTTGGGTTTCTGCTTGCTTCTCCCTCAAGAGCAGGAGAGTTATAACTGTCTAGTTACTGGCTCTGCTTTATCCTTGTCCCGCAGGGTGGCCTTGAAGTGACAGTGTGCGCCGAAGAGCCCCTGCTTTCTGCAGCACAGCTTTCAGCTGGTAACCTCCTGAGCGTCACGCTGGAGGCGGCTTATTCTGTCCCCGAAGCGTTTGCTCCCACCGGACCCCTGCAAAACTACATGGCTTGCTTGCAAGTCCCGACAGCCGAGGAGGTGAGCATGGCTCCAGGCGCACGAGAAGGGTTTGGGCTGCCACAGAGAGGATTGTTCTCTGTGGAGCAAGTGTCCAGGCCCGTGGGGTGAGCAGTTCCTGCACTTTTGCAACAGCGGTGCTTGCTGCGAGCGCGCAGGGTCTCTGCTTGGCAAGATTTGGATTGAAAAGGGCAGGGTTTTTTTCCACATGGCTATTTCTTTTTTTTCCTCCGTTCTTTGTATGCGTGTAGTGGAGCGTGTTTCCAAAGCCTGGCCCCTGCGCCGCCATTTTGCTTTGTTAGACCCAGCTCAGCACAGCTGGCACTTGCTCCCGCTCCTGCTGGAAATGCAAGTCCTTTCATTCCCGCGTCTCTCCAGAGGGAAGTCCCCTTGCTCTTCAAGAATGGCATCCTGAAGCTTGCTGGTGAAAAAGACCCATTACCGCGGCCCAAAAAATGGCCCCTTGATAATGTCATGGCCCCTGGTGCTCTGAGCATACCCAACTCCTTCATCGTTGGTGGTCCCTATGAAGATGAGGATGGAGAGCTCAACAAAAGAGAGGTGAGGAAGGACTGGCAGTGTCCAGTGACTGGAAAAGAACCAGTGGGTCTCACTGAAGGGTCTGACAAACACTTGCAGAGAATTGTTATGGGAGGAAGGTGGGCGGCCGGTCCTCTGCGCAGGGTCCAGACATGGAGATGATTCCCCTGGGACAGCGGGCCTGCTAATTCACCACAGGAGAGTTCCCTAGGGTGCATGTGGCAGGTCTGGTCCCTGGAAAGCTCCCTGCTCTGGAGCTGCTGGGCTGGGAGTTACGTTATCTCCTTGTGAGCCAGGCTCTTAATACTGATGGGCTCTGGTATCTGCAGGGAGGGCTGCTAACTTACACCGCTAGGATGGCCCGAGTATGGGGAGCTGGACACCTCTGTCTGACTCACGTTCCCTCCCAGGGACCGTTTCTGGGGGTGATTTGGGGATGATGCAGGCTGTGGAGATTGCTGCCCTGGCTCTGACTGCCTGCTGTTTCTCACAGGACAGGGAATTTAGGATCCAAGCAGAAAGGATGAAGAGAATCGTATGGGACACGGAAAGGCGTTGTTACCTGGATCCTGCTGCGGTACTCACGTAAGGGACATGAGAACCAACTGTCCAGCATGGAGCGGTGGGGAGAAACCACTCAGGTGCTCTCAGACCTCTTACGTGGTCACACCGTGGCTCTGCCTGGCCTCCCGTGGCTCCTATGGCTGTCTGTTGGCCAAAGGCGTTCACACGAGCCAGGGAGCAGCTAACTGCCTCTAATTGCTGGCAGCAGCTTAGTTCTGCTGTGGTGGGAGAAGATGAATTGGCTGTAGCTGCAGTCTCCAGGCCATAAACACTCGCTCATGCTGCCAGCGGCTGGAGCTGGTGACTGTTCCCCTCTGCGGTTTGTCGAAGGGGCAGTGGAGTTATGGTGAGCAGACGTGGAGTAGCGTGGCCCACACAGCTCTCCTCTGAGCTGCTAATTAAGTTTTGCCGAATGCCCAATATATTAAGATCTTTTCACTCCCTGTGGGCACTCATTTGCTTTTTTATTGGATAAACGTTACCTTTAGCGGCTCTAGATATGCTCAGGATCAGGATAAGTTTCCCATTTCTCTTTGAATCCTGCTACGTCCTTGGCCTCAGCTGCATCTTGGCTCCAAGTTTCACAGCCAAATTACTCCTGGTGTGGAAATGCTCCCTTTCTATCTAGTTTGATTTTTTTTAACTTTTTTTTTCCCCTACACTTCCATCAGCCTGCCTGCTGGTTGCAGAGTTACCAGGCACATTGAATGGGAGCTCAGGGTCCGCTTGCTCTGTGCAATTCAGGATTTATACCAAAGTTAATGATGTTCCTTCTTATTTGTTTCATTGCTGATGTAACCAGGGGAGCAAGAAAACCTCGTGTGTCGCTCTCACAATTGTTTTCTAGCTGGTTGTGCCATAAATGCACACAGCAGTGGATGGGGAAGAAAATGTCCCAAGCCTGCCCCAAAGCACGCATTCTGGTGGCCGGAGGGTGCTTGCTGTATCTCATGGGAGCTGGCAGGAGCAAACCCAAGGCAGGGGGTGCTCTGGGGCTGCTGGGGTGGTATGGCTCTCCAGTTTGGTTTCTGCATCTTCTCAGTGCCCTCCTTTGCCTTCAGCCTGCAGAAGCGCATTGCGGAACGCCGGTCCTGGCCCGTGGAGGTCTGCAGGATGGCTGTGGCCTCACCCAGCAAAGGCAAAACTAGCAAAGCTGACAAGGTAAAAGCTGGGAGGGAGATGTTGTTCTGGCTTGCAGAGCAGCACTGCGTTATCGAGCATTCGCCTTTCGATGCCTTTGTCATTCCAAAACCAGCCTTGAACCAGCCAAAGCGAGTCAGAGAGCTGGAGGCTTTGCAAAGGGATTCCTCAGCCTTATAGAGTGGTTAAATAGACAAGGGATGATATTTTTTTCCTTATAGCACACAGAGCTCTTGCTGGCAGTCTGTGGTAGCTCGGTGGAAGGGGGTCAGGGAGAGGGTGCTTTTTGGGGAACTGAGGTAATTCATGGAGCTTATCTTTGGGGTTTGGAACATCTTGATGAAATTCCTGCCTTCTTTCTTGGGGTGTAAATAAGTTACGCTTTTGCACATGAACTGGGGTGGTTTAACAAAGAAACAGCCCCTTAGCTACTCGTTCTGTTCCTGGCGGCTGATCGTGCGAGAGCTCCTCATCTGTTCCAGGGCAAAGTCACGTAAGCTGGGATCAATCTCCTTCTGCGCTAATTGGTGCCAGGGTCCTGTGGCCCTGACAGGGATCCTTCTCCCTCACCCTCACCAGCCTGCGGCTAGCCCGGGCTCTCAGCCCCCCCTAGCTACCTGATTTCTGTCAAAGCTGAGGTGCACAGCTCTGGGAGGGTTGCTTGGATTTCCAACCACCTAGTTGGTAATTTTGCAGCCTTATTTCGAAAAGACCTTCCTGAGGTGTGGGCATTAGAGAGAAAAGCCACCCTGCGGGGATAGGAATAAAATTGATATTCTGCATATGGAATGACTCCAGTGTTTTCGGCCAGGTCGTCTCGGCTGTGTGCCAGTGACAGAGAGCCCCTGGCTCATTGGGTGCATCCGTTTGCTCTGTGGCCTCCTCTTAACAGGAGCGGTGACCTTGTTTCCTTGCAGAGAATAACCGGTGTCTCAGTCCCTCGCTCTGTGTTTCCAGGGAGATGAGGACAAACAGATTTTCTTCCACGGCGTGGCGTATGTCAACATGATGCCTCTGCTGTGCCCTGGTGTGAAGCAGATCCGAGGCGCCTTTCGTGTCTTTACCTACCAAGAGAGCGAGGTGTTCGAGAAGGTGAGGGCGGGCCAGGCGGGCTCCGTTCCAGCTCTGCGGCTGCGTTTGCGCAGAGCCGGGCTGGGAGCCGGCAGCACGGGTGGCGTGGTGCTTGGAGCCTGGCTCTGAAATGTCACCGCCCTTTTGGTGGTGGAGAAAAATAACGAGACGAGCTTTTAGGTGCAGACTTCTCAAAGGCAGGGGATTTCTGGGCGTGCGCGAGCAGGTTTGGGAGCTGAGGGAGGCTCTGAATCTCCCTCTGCTCCCTTCTCTGCCCGCAGCTGAGCTGTAAGAACGCTCAGTCTGGAACAGGGGCAAATGAACAGCGTTGCTGGGAAGAGCAAACAGTGGCTCTACAAGGATAGCGTTACCCCAGGCAACAACCAAAAAAAGCCGTCACTGGCGCTCTTTCAGCTGTAGCTCACGGAGGTTTATTTGTCTTTGCGTCCCGTCCCCCCCCGCCCCGTTACCAGGAGTGACAGTTACATCTCCATTTTCCCACAGTACCCTCAGAACAGACCTGAGCTTGTTTCAGGAGGACAGATGCGCAGCCTGGTTTTTTCTGCCCAAGGCCCTTGTAGTGCTGCCATCCAGGCTGCGGGAGCCGGGTGAATTACAGCCCTTCACCCTGCCGTCCGGGCTGTGGGAGCCGGGTGAATCACAGCCCTTTGCCCTGCCTCCCCTCTCCCACTGGCTGGGGGGGCCAGGCACCCAGCTGTTTGCTGGTCCCTGCTTTGCCACCATGATTAATGCCCTCCTTGGTACTCCTTGTCCTGTAGCCTTTATCTGTCACAAGTGAAGTGACACACGCTCTCTCATTCTCATTCTGTGTTTTTGTGGATGCTTTGGGCTGCTCCTTGGCCTTGGTCTAGATGGTACAGCTGCTCCATCCTCTCCCCAGCATCCCCTCAGTTCTTGCTAGCCTGTATTTTAGTGGTGGGATGGCAGGGTTAGGTTAAAGGTTGGACTTGATGATCTTAAAGGTCTTTTCCAACCAAAGCGATTCTATGATTCTATGATTCTATGGCTGGGAGGGAACTGCCTGTCTAGGTGCTCCAGCAGCGTGTAAACTGTGTAAATCTGAAAAACCCGCTCCTTGCAATTCACCCGGTGTGTGTCAGGGAAGCTGCTCCACACCAGAAGGAGCCGAGAGTCACTGCAGGGCAGGTGGGAGCACCCAAAGAATCTCAGAACAGACCTAGTGAGTGTAGCCAGATTCATCTAACAGTCCACATCACCAGGCAAATCCTTAGCCGTGAGGCAGGTCAAGGATCAAGCCAGGAATTCAGGCCAGTGGACGAGGATTGGGGCAGCACGGGGGTGGGCTCCAGCAAATCTACCACATAGCTCAGGTGAGAATCCAGGGCCAGCACCTCAGTGAAAATGCAGCTCTCTGGAGAAGACGGGGAGACCCCACTGAGGCTTTCTCGGGCAGCTATTTTCATAGCAATATATATATATATTTATATATAGTATAACAGCTGTACAGTATCAGAGCTGGCCTTGAGCACCAGCAGCTAAACTAGGAGGGGAGTACAAGGTTGCGGAGTGTCTTAATGCATTGAGGACCCTGACAATGTGTTGTGCGATGCGAGAGGTTAGGGCCAAGGGGTGGAGGAGCCTACTGGTTGGACTCGACGATCTTAAAGGTCTTTTCCAACCAAACCGATTCTATGATTCTATGATTCTATGGCTGGGAGGAAACTGCCTGTCTAGGTGCTCCAGCAGCGTGTAAACTGTGTAAATCTGAAAAACCCGCTCCTTGCAATTCACCCGGTGTGTGTCAGGGAAGCTGCTCCACACCAGAAGGAGCCGAGAGTCACTGCAGGGCAGGTGGGAGCACCCAAAGAATCTCAGAACAGACCTAGTGAGTGTAGCCAGATTCATCTAACAGTCCACATCACCAGGCAAATCCTTAGCCGTGAGGCAGGTCAAGGATCAAGCCAGGAATTCAGGCCAGTGGACGAGGATTGGGGCAGCACGGGGGTGGGCTCCAGCAAATCTACCACATAGCTCAGGTGAGAATCCAGGGCCAGCACCTCAGTGAAAATGCAGCTCTCTGGAGAAGACGGGGAGACCCCACTGAGGCTTTCTCGGGCAGCTATTTTCATAGCAATATATATATATATTTATATATAGTATAACAGCTGTACAGTATCAGAGCTGGCCTTGAGCACCAGCAGCTAAACTAGGAGGGGAGTACAAGGTTGCGGAGTGTCTTAATGCATTGAGGACCCTGACAATGTGTTGTGCGATGCGAGAGGTTAGGGCCAAGGGGTGGAGGAGCCTACTTTGTCCCTTGATTCCCTCTGTTCCCTCTTTGTTTTCAGACTGGAAGTCAGCACAGCGTTTTCTGGGATCTCAGGTCACAGCTCAGCCTGACTAAGGAAGGGCCGTGGACCCCAGGAATCAGTACTCCCCTTTCCAGAGCCATTCCCAGCAAGACTCAGAAGGAAGACAAAATCAGCAAAGAAAAGGATTCCAACCGAAGGGTAAGGTCTGGAGAGGCACGCTGTGATGCAGTAGCTCCGTTTCCACGTCAGAGGTGGTTGGGGCGTGCAGAAACCAGGGGCTGATGCTGCGTTGCCTCAGCCAACTGAGAGATACTCATCATCTTGAAATTTTAGTAGTGCTGCCTGAACAAATGTACAACTCGCATTTATTGAATCTGAAACGAGACGTCTTTTCTTTTTCTTCAACAGATGTCCAACACATCCAAAATCCCGTTGTCAGATGCCACTGTAGACGCGGAAAACGCCACATATCTCAGCCTTGATGGACAGGTAATTATGTATCTCCAAAGAGAAGGAGAGACTGCTAGACCGTCGCTGCGCCGGTGTCTCACACCTTTCACGTGATTAAATCCTTGAAGAGTGTTGGGCAAAGGATGTTTCACGCAGACGCTGCCCTGGAGTTCTCCCAGTGGCGTCCAGCTGGAGGGCAGGCTCGCATTGGGCTAGAAGGTCTCTGTAAATAACCAGGCATTTATTTAGAAACATCCCTTCATATTTTGGCTTCTTCCTCAAAACATCTAGAATGCATGTTCATTCGTCAAGCAGATTGATTTTCTGGGCTTGCTCCCTTTTGCCTAGGCTAGTTTCTTGAGCTGAATGTTGCTGCTATAAATCATTCTGGGGGCAGGTTATGAAACAAGCCCTATCTCTGCAGTTTGAAGAGGATTTGCTGACGCTGTGTAGCTGTACGCTCAGTCTTCCATCACGCCAGTAATGGCTCTAGACAGCACGACACTGAGCGAGCCCTGTTTATCTTCACAGCAATACGCTGAAGCAGGAACATTCCTGGTGATGGAGATAAAGCTGGACAAGGCCTTGGTACCAAAGCGATTGCGAGAGGAGCTCACCAGACGGTGCGTAAAGCCGTGCTGTAACTCTGGGGCTGACAGCTCATTTCTGCAGGATGGAAACAGGGCTGTGCAGCGAGCCACCCCCTTGGAGTGCTCTGCAAGGACCAGCTGAGGGCCTGAGCCGAAGCCCCCTGGAATCAGGGGGAGGATTTGGCCGGATTGCTTAAGAGGTGGCATCTGGTGTGTTGGGAAAACACTTGCATTCATCTGAGCTGGCATCTCCCTGCCAGTCCTCTCAAAAAGAGAGATGCCAGAGCAGCACGACAGCGTCTGCGTTCCCAGCCGGGCTTTGTTTCCCATTAATCCCCTCTTGCATGTGATGTTTGGCCGCTTGGTCAGGACCGGCCACCAGCGTGGACTGCCCGGGGTAGCATTGCTGTAGCTTCAACTTCATATTCTGTATTTTTAAATTTTTTTTGGCCTTTTTGGAAGTTTTCCACCCATTTCTTGGCTCTTTCATTAGTTTTCACATCATTCCGCTGTCGAGCTGCTCTCTCTTCTCTGCTGCTTCGAGTCCTTTGGTGTTTGATTGGAGGCGGTTGCTTCTTGTCCAGCGGTCGCCCTGCTGCGTTACAGCCTAGGAAAGGCCTAGCAGGTATCGTTTATTGAATAAAAAAAGAGAAAATGCAGCAAAGAAGTGAAGTATAGCACGTGCAGGCAGTACGTCTCTCTCAAACAGAAATACGAGCAGCAGCCGTTCTTTGAAGGGAAAGCACGGGTGTGGTCTTCTGTCCTGCCCACTGTCTTCTAGGAAGAAGAGGTTGAGGAAGGTGACCCCCCCTTACGACAGACCTTCTCCTGGTCCTTTTTATACCATTCCTACTCCACTGCAAGTTGCATGAATGCAGTGTAGCTCCTCCTCATTCCCCTGCCACGCACAGCTGCAGATGTCGGGCTCAAAAATCCAGCCCTTCTGGGTTATGGGAAGAGCCCTGTCTTGGGGGGGGCTCCAGCTGATGTGTCCTAGCAGAGGAGATCAGTGGTGGATCTTTGTCTGGAAGGATGTTCAAATACATATCTTTGTAGCAACCCATAGCTCTCTTAGAATCATAGAATCATAGAATGTTTTGGGTTGGAAGGGACCCCTAGAGGTCATCTAGTCTCTTCTTGAGCTCCATCCAAAACCCTCTGTCAGCTTCTGCCTGGCCCTCATCGCTCACTCGCTTTCCTCGGGTTGTTGTTGGTTTTCTTCTTCTCCTCCGCAAGGAAAGCGGTTTGGGTACCGCCGGCGGAGGTCACACGTCAGCGACGGGTGCTGTTCTGAGGGTGGGACCACGAGCGTGGGAGCTGTACTACCCCCTCGCTTGGGCTTTGTGGCTTCCCAAGGAGTAGTGATGGGTCCCTGCAGGGCAAGGGGACCACTCAGGGCCATGGCACCAGCCCACACGGCAGAGGGTGCGAGAGGGGCTTGTGTGGGAGAAGCAGCCAGGGCTCGGGAACTGGAGGAGGCGGCTGGCCAGGGGCTCTGTCAGCTGGCACAGCAGTTTCAGGAGTGGTTCGTATTTGGTGGAGAATAAGTGATTTGCTTTGCTAATTGGGTAGGAGCCGTCACAGGGATGTGACACCTTTGCCTGGTGTCACATTTGCTTGGTGGGCTGAATTACGTTCTGAGAACCAAAGGCGTTTTGGTACAAGCAAGCAGGAAATCTTGGTAAAAATCCCAGTGAATGTAGGCTGGTTTGACACCAAGGATTTCAGTAAAACCTTAGTAAAAATTATGGTAATCCTAAGGGCTTTTGATCCATGTTTGAAAGGTCATTGTAACCCTGGCAGTGGTACAAACTGGGTTGGTGTGGAGTCAGCGCATGGCCAAGGGATGAGGTGCCCCAGCTGCGCTGCGGGATGTCAGGAGCCTGTGGATCGGGTGGCCTGGGGTCTACAGGGATAAAATTCTTCAGAGCTGTCCTCAGGTTGGTGCCTTTCTTGCAGCTGTGCTGGCAGACCCAGGAGCTTGATGAGATCTGCTTCTCTAGGAGAGTGGGTTTGATTGCTAGCAATCACAAGCGTTAACCCTACCTGCCGGGCTGAGCCTCTGCGATAGTTTTTGTGTGATGGGTCAGTCAAGCCCAGTGAAAATAATGACTGAATAAATGTTATCTAATCCCCACGGAGTGTAACCACCGGCCGGGAGCGAGGCAGCAGCTCGTTGTCTCAAGACATTATGATGAGCTGCACCATCGAATGTAGGTGCCTGGTCTTTACAGCTCATTCTTGGTCTGAGACTTGAGTTTCCCCCTGCTCCCTGGGTCCCTGGGAGGCATCTCAGGGATACGGGGATGGGCTGGAGCCCTGGCTCTGCAGGGCTGCCTGCGCCCAAGATAAGGCAGTGTTGCTGGCAGTCTGTCTGGCTGATCCCTCCTGTCCTTCCATTGACAGGGTCAAGCAGATGATTCCTCCTCGCCCTCCGCTGCCTCCCCGGACTGCAGGAGCCAAGAAGGTACGTGCAAGAGCCCGTGGCCTTGCCACCACTCTGCCACCTCCTCCTGCCCTCCTCCCTCGCACACAGGAGAGTCTTCATTCCCAATCTCAGCCTTGCGGTAACATGTAGATGAGGTCTGAAGAGGAAATACACAGAAAAGAAAGCTTCTGGACGTGTCCTCTTCGCAGGAGTATGCCTTGGGAAATCATTCCTGGGCTGTGTCGCTCACGTTCGCAGCCCATACAAAAGGGAGAGATGTAGCAAAGGTAGGGGAGGCAGCAGCTTGGGGTGTTTGGAAGGAAACAGGATGCTGGGGAAAGAGGTTACCAGGACTTTATGGTTACCCCAGGCAGTCCCAACAGTTTCATGGCTCAGACTGGCCCATGTGCTTCACTGGATCCAGAAAAATGTGAACAGAATCAGCCCCGACCACTCTCAGGTCACCCAGAATTTTTGAGGACTTGTGTGTCTGTGACACCCTCAGAAAATGGTCTGAGCATGCTGGCCTGTCTTCTGTGGGTACAGAGCAGCCGCCGAAGGGGGATGTCCTTGGGTGGCCCCTGATGCTAAATTCAAAGCAACAGTGGGGGAAGAAGCAGCACTTCAATAACTGCCCCCAGTGCTGCTACCAAACTGATTTGTGCTGGGCTGTCTGGAGCGCACAGAGCGATGCGTTTTGCTTATTGCAGCACGTGGAAGCTCCTGCCACCGAGATCATGGAAGATTACAGATCTGCTGAAGAGACCTGGGCCCACGGGTTTAAAAGGCTCCTAGCAAATGCAATCTAGAATCACAGAATCATAGAACGGTTTGGGTTGGCAGGGACCTTTAGAGGCCACCCAGTCCAACCCCCTGCAGGGAGCAGGGACATCTTCACCCAGACCAAGTTGCTCAGAGCCCCGTCCAGCCTGGCCTTGGATGTTCCCAGGGATGGGGCATCTCCCACCTCTCTAGGCAACCTGTGCCAGGGCCTCACTGCCCTTGGCGCAAAAAATCTCTTCCTTATATCCAGCCTGAATCTCCCCTCTTTTAGTTTAAAACCATCACCCCTTGTCCTGGCGCTATGGCCCTGCTAAAAAGTCTGTCCCCCCCTTTCTCCCCAGCCCCTTTAAGCCCTGCAAGGCTGCAGTCAGGTCTCCCCGGAGCCTTCTCTTCTCCAGGCTGAACCACCCCAACTCTCCCAGCCCGTCCCCATAGCAGAGGGATTCCACCCTTGGATCATTTTTGGGGCCTCCTCCGGCTCTGCTCCAACAGGTCCCTGCCTGTCCTGTGCTGGGGACCCCCGAGCTGGATGCAGGGCTCCAGGGGGGTCTCACTGGAGTGGAGCATTTTGCTTACAACCAATTATACCGCTAGAGAAGAGACGACAATGACTGAAATACTGGGTACTGACTGAAAAATATAGCAGGAGCGATACCCGATTATGACAGAGCTCTTTTGGATTTGCACGTGGATCTTTTCACAGCCCTCTGGCGTGGACAGGAAAGGATGCTGCCAGACTAATTGAGACTTGAGTCAGGTGGAGTTTATGGGAGATGTGGGCTCTGGCAAATAAAATACATTTCAAGGTTGATGGCCTAAGTGATTTGTGAACTTTGATGATTTATTTATTTCCTAGGCTGTGGAAGATTATCACAACCATGTCACGAACATTGCCGTGGCCATCCTGAGTGAATACCACGAGCTCTTTGGGAAGCAGCTGCCTGACCGGGGAGCGATAGACCCCCAAACTCTGGAGGAACAGAAGCGTCAGCTCAACTTCGAGCTCAATAGCTCTGGGAAATATTTTGCTTTTAAGGAACAGCTAAAGGTAAAGAGTCCATTGTGCTTTTCGCTTCCCTCCTTGTTTTGTCCTGGCAGTTTCTCAGTGAGGAGCTCCTGCTCCGTGGTGGTAACTTCGGGTGAAGTGCTGCTCCAGAATCCGTCCCTGCCGCTCGGGCCTGGGGCGGGGGGCAGGAGGAGGGATAGGTATTCCGTCGT